TGTGGCGGCGCTCGTAGTGCGCCAATTCCCTGTGCGCCATCTCCGGGCGCTCCCTCTCGGCTTTGTTCCGCGTCTTCTTGCTGTACCCCGCCCATTCGGGGTCGTTCAGTCCCCAGGCGACCTGCGCGTAGAGGTCGGTCCATTCGAACGTGGGCAAGCTCTCCCAGGTGATCCCCTCCATCAGCACATAGTGGCCCTCCCATTGTGCCTGGTGTGGAGCATAGCGCTTGAAGACGGTGCCAACCGCCATCGGCTCTACCTTGGGCAGGTGCTGCAGAAGATCCACCGCGCTGAGCACTGTGATCCCATCCTTCTTGAGCTTGTCGTAGCGCAGCAGGGCCTTCAGGTCGCGGATGTCCTCCTCGGGATGCTCCGCGTGCATGTAGTACGCGCGTGGCGGCTTCGCCTCCTCCTCTATGAGCTCGATGCAGACTCCGTAGGAGGTCGAGTAGCGCGCCCCGCCGTGGCACTACCAGCGCTGGCCCGCCTCTCCCGCTGCCGCCTCCTGGGCGCATGAGAGCAGCTGTGTCCAGCGATCCGATCGGATCACCGAACAGCATCCCCTGGGATTATCCCAGGTCTTGTTGGCCGCGCACTTGTAGTACATGTTGAACGCGAAGCCCTTGTCACGGTAAAACTGGTCCGTGTAGTCGCTCATGCGGCGGTGGGCCTCATGCGCCGCGGTGTCACCCTGGCACTCCTCCTTCCAGGCACGTTTGTGTCCCAGGTGGGCGTCTCCAATCCCCGAGGCTTCCAGGACACCCCTCTTCAGCCTTCCCGCATCCTCCTCCGCCTCCTCGTCCAGCGCGCCGAGCCACTTCTGGACTCAGTCCTGCGCCTCGGTGCCCCTCACCATGTCCTCCTTCTTCTCCAGGATGGCCGCCAGGCCGCCCAGCATGTGGGTGCGCATGGTCTCGAATTTGAGGACGCCATAGGCTCGCGCCATGCGCTTCAGCGACTTCTTGGATAGGCCAAGCCGCAGCAAGGGCTCGATGCCCGTTACCTCCTTCACGGTCTGGGCCTCGGTCAGCTGGGGCCCCTGGTCCTCCGCGTCCACGTCGGGCTGGGGGTCGTTCTCCCCACCACTGGGAGGCTCATCCTCGAGGGGCGGGGGTGGCGCACGGGGCGGCCCTGGCACCACCCCCGCCTCCCTCGCCATGGGGCGACCCACCTCCCTCGCCACTTCTTCCGTGGCTGGGGGGGGCGCCTGTACTCTCGGGGTCGATGCCCCCCCCCCCATTCCTTCCGTTGACCTCCGCAGGGCAAGCAAGCCCTCCTCAGAGAGCGCGAACCCCACCAGGACGTCCATGCCCTCCTTGATGTAGCCAAAGCTCGCGCGGAACTTCGCTACCCGCTTGGCGGCATGGTCGATGGAGCCTGGGCCCTTGTTCGCGCGCGCAGCGCGCGTCACGGCCTCGTGCTCGGAGATGCCCTCCGACGTCGCCACGCAGTTCGAGCACATGTACAGCTTGAGCTGCCCCCTTTGCCCCTCCTCAGTTCGGGGTATTTCTCGTTGTCCTCCTTGGCCATCGCATAACGACGCATCTCCGCACAGCTGAGCTCATCCACGTACTCCACCGCCATAATCTTCCAGTCGTCCAGCGCCGTGCAGCTCCGACACCAGCCCAGGCGGTGCGGCGGTACCCAATATGCGCCCATGCAGTGGACGTAGCCCGCCTCAGCGTAGTTCTTCTCCGTCATCATCTCTACGTCTTCGAGCGCGGCTGGCGTGCCGTCGCTCGACTGGGGGGCCTGGCCGTAGACGGCTTTGTTGCTGCGTCGGCGGTGGCGCTTGCCCCCCACGGCCGCTGAGGGCTCCCGTGGTCGCAGCACTCGGGGCCTCGCTGGCGGTCCCATCGTCCACGGCGCGCTCGCCGTCTGCCTCGCTGCGCGCCCCGCGGCCGCCGCGGCCGCCCACAGCATGCTCCCTCAGCTGAAGGTTGTGGAGCGCGAGGGTGAGCGCGTCCAGCCCGCGCCGCTGCTCTGTGGTGAAGCCGGCATACGTGGCTGCCGCCGCCAGGGCGGCTGATGTCACTGGCACCACCGCCGATGCAGGCATCGCCGAGGCGCCATCGGAGGCGGCGGGGCGGCCCCCGTACCGCCGCCTCCATCGGCGTCCTCAGCGGGGGTAGCTGATCCCGCGTGCACCGTCGGTGCCGTCCGAAAGGTCGCTGCCTCGGACACCATGTCGTACTCCTCGCCTTCGCTCTCCGACAAGCTTACCTGCTGGACAGGGCGCTGCATCGGTCTTGCTTTGGAGGTTGGTGCCTCCCCCGCGGCGCACGTCTTTGCGGGCCACGGCGTCGGCACAGGCTTCGAGAACTTGGGCGCCATCACTTGGTCGGGTGGATGGCACGGGAGGTGCAGCTCGAGAGAATGTGCGAGGCAGTTACTCACGAGCCAAACAGCTGACGGGGGGGAGAGAGGAGGGGGGGGGGCTGTACACCGAACCCAAATGGGGCGGCCGACTGCTAGGGCGGGACAAAGGTGACACAGGAAGACGATGGGCTGAAGCCAGCGGTTCCAGGTGCGTGGGACCCGTTCATTATGTTGGCGGGAAACGGCCTGACCCCCGTTCGGGGCCCTGGACGGGCGGGAGAGGGGGGAGGGGGGCGAGGAAACCACGTCGCGGGCGGGCGACAAAGCGGGCGGCGGGCAGCCGACGGCCCCAGGACCCGCGGGGAGGCCCCGATCTTCAACGCCTCTTGACGCCTCTTTAGCCAGCGGCCTTGGACAGGTGCTGTTGGTTGCATGAAGGCTCATCCCAGATGGGCTGCGGGACCACCTCATGCCAGAGATAACGAGCATCAAAGATGTGGCATGCCGAGACCACAACGTGCGCAAAGCAAGGAGGCAACACACCATGGCGTGCAGACCAAACATGACACTACAGAAGCGCGCTGTGTGCGCGACCTGGAGACTGAGCGAAACCTTGCACACTGCAGATGTGGCAATTTTTTATGACCACTCAGGGCTGCGGGAAAGGGGAAGGGGAGAGGAGGGTCAGTACTCACATGCAAATGGGGCGGGGCTACAGCTAGTCAAGACTGGACGCTCGGGGCGGCCCCTGCATCCAGTCTCGCTGCGCCCTCCGTCGCCAGGGCGACCTGCTCCGCAATTTGTCCCTGCAGGGCGTTGGCTACTGCCGATCGCAGGGCTGCACGAGCCGCGGGCCGTTCGGCCTCAGCCAATTCCCCTGCGGCACGGCGCAGCCACGTCTCC